TCGCCTCTCTTTCCAGCCCCCTTTCCAGCTGTACTTACTTACCCTCTGCTCCCCTGCCATACTATGTTCTGGAGCCTCTGAGCATGCCTGCTCTGTAGACCTCCCTAGTGGTTCCCACTGCTCTCCCATACAGTGGCCTCTGCCCCCCCCCTTCCCACCAACCTTCCATTCTGCTCTGCTCCATACTTCTTCCTGATGCCTCCTCTGGTGTCCCATATCCTGTAATGTTCTTTCTCTTTACAGAACACCCAGAGTGTTTCCCTTGGCATCTCAGGGCCATGAGTGGTTCACAGGCCAGCAGTAAGGGCATCATCTGGGAGCTGGTAGAAAAACAAAAAACAGAATCCCAAGCTCCCCCTGTGAGCCCTGGGGTCAGAATTGCATTTTAGCATGATCTCTAGATGATTTGTGTCCACATCTGAGTTTGAGGAGTGCTGGTGCACAGCCTTTCTCCAGGATACAGGGGATAATCTCAGATGACAAGCTTAGCAACATCGGGTGATGGCTGCCATGTTGACCAGATTCTACAGTTTATGGTGGAGGAGTGGACAGTGGAGATGGCCAAGGAGATTGTGTACTCTCCCCACCTACCTGGCCCCAGAGCTCAGACTCTGTAACTCCAACTGCAAGAAGTTCTCTGGGAACCCAAGGAGGGATCAATTAATCTATAGAAAGCAGTCATCAAGCATGTCACAGAGTTTATCCTGCTCACAGAACACACATGGGTGAAAATGTTTGTTATTTTAGCATATGTTTTGGAAAGGAAAATATTTATTGTTTCTTTCCTTTATTATAGCATTAATACAGTTTCTAAAGTAGTAGCTTTAGAAAACACAATATGTCACATGAAGAAAATGAAACTGACTCACGGTTCCTCTCTCCATCAGTGTTCATTTAGTACTTTTGATTGCCATTCATTCTTTTCAATAAATATTTACAAAGGCCTGCTACGTTGTCAGACCCGTTCCAGGTACCAGGGATTTAGCATGAAGAGCACAGCTCCTATTTTTAAGCAGCTCACAGCCTGGGGCTGGGTGTGGGAGACAGGCACTGCACAAGTTCCAAATGGCAGTATGTTCATGTCCCAGAGCTGCTGGGACAAAGCACCATAAATGAGATGGCGCAGAGCAGTCTGGATCTGTTTTCCCACAGCTCTGGAAGTTGGACGTTTGAAATCAAGGTGTCTGGAAGGGTTGATCCCTGTGCAGACTGGGAGAGCCATCTGTCCCATGCCTCTCCCCTGGCTTCTGGTGGCTACTGGCAATCCTCGAAAATCCTCAGTTTGTTGATGCTGCAGTCCGGACTTTCATTCCCTTGTTCCCTTTTCTCTGTTCAGTGCTGTCTTCCTTTAAGGACACTAGTTAGAATGGGAACAACCCGCACTCCCCAACTCCTTTCAGGATGACTTTAATCACATTTGCAAAGGTCACATTTTCAATAAAGACCACATTGGAGGTACAGGGTATTAGAACTTTAACCCCTAACACTCAAGGACAGTACAGAGTTCTGGAGGATTGCTGGGAAATGACCTTCAAAGGGGGACTGAGAAGAGTTGGAATGAGGTAGGCAAGCGTGGACAGATAGACAAGCGTGCAGTCCTTGGAGCATGGCAGTAGGGGCAAGCTGTAGAAGAGTGTTCCAGGTATAGGAGACACAGTGGAGGCCAGGCGAAGGAAAGGAGGTGGCAGGTGGCAGCAGGGGGGTGGGTTTTGTCCTGGGTAAAGACCATCTCCTCCTATGCCTAACCATACTGCAGGATGTGCTGCTCTAAGTCGCTGGTTCTGAGGGAGTACACAGAGCCATGTCCTCAGGAGTCCCTGGCTGGGAGAAGGCACATGTTAGCTCTGTACCCAGAAGAAAGCAGGAGATGGGCCTTGCCTTCCATAAGCCTTCTCTGCTCAGGAGACAGCTCCTCTGGCCCAGAGTCTGCTGGACCTGTGTGTGTGCTGAGCCTAGGACAGAGGCAGGGCTATGATCACAACACCTGCTTTACTGTGAGGCTGTGACTGAGAGACTGTGCCCAGGGCCTGGATGGTGCTCTGAACCCAGAGACCCAGACTGATCTCTCAGGGACATATTTTCAGTGTTCTACTCTCATTGGGAACTGTCAGGGTCCTGGCGCCTTCCTTCATAGAACCCAGCCTAACTGGGTCTCAGCTCATCCCTTACCATACCCTCAGAGGGCTGTTCCTTTTCTGTGTGTGATGGGAGAGGGCCCATCTTACCCAAAGCTGCCTGTAACCACCTCGCCTGGGCTGGGTGGGCCAGCCTGGGTGGAGGAGAAGTGGGTCAGCTGGTAGCCATGGTGACAGCGGCTGCTCCCTGCCAGCCTTCCCATTTCTTCACCACAAACCTCACCAATGAGCTTCTTTGTCCGGTCCAGCAGAGATGGGAGCTAGGAGGATGGGATTGGAGGATGGAGTGTGTGAGTGTGTATGTGTTCCAACTCACACAAGGGTATGCTCCAAACTGGTGTGTGAACCCCAGCCTAGGAAGCCAGGCTTAGGCTAAGACTTATCTCACTTTCTTGCCAATGGGAGCAAGGGGCTTTCCTGGCTGGACAGGGCCAAAGGGAGGAGACACTGCATGTGACTGTATAAAGCTGTGTATACACAAGTCTGAAAGTCTGTGTGGTCGCTTCTGTGTATCTTCATGTGGATGAGCATGTGCGTATCTGTGAACACATGTGCTGTGTCTTTAAAACGTGGGGAGCAGCTTTGTGGGTCTGTATGATGTGATTGCATTTGAAATTATGTGCTTGCTTTCACAGCCTCTGTGTGTGTGTGTGTGTGTGTGTGTGTGTGTGTGTGTGTGTGTGTGTGTGTGTGGAAAGATAAGAGATCTGCACATTAGGAGAATAGATGAGGCATCATGTGCCTCACGCTGGCAGCCTGTGCTTTCTTGACCTAGCCTGTCTGCCCCACCACATTCCAACCCCTGGCACCCTCTCACCTCTCCCTAAGTAGAGGGCCTCTACCAGGGTTTGAGGCAGGGTTCTCAGGTGCCAGACCCAGCATCCAGTAAGGACTCTGGTGGTGCTGATGCAGCGTTCCCAGCTACCGCCAATCACAATTGAGAGGTGCATTCTTATCCTGCACACAGAATGGTGGTGGTGGTGGTAGGTTGTCTTATTAGCCCTTGGGCCTCCCCCTGAACAGGCTGCACATGGTGAATAGGGGCTAACACCTGGAAAAGTGTTTGCCACACACCTGGCTCCATCATTCACAGCAGCTAGTTAACTGCCTGGCTGGGCAGTGAGCATGTACCAAATCTCGTTTTATAATCTTTTGTCTAGTACTCCTAAAGCACATGTGGTCATCCCACTTTAGGGAATAGGAGCCATGTGCTGGGGTTGGGGGAGATGCCCTCTAATCTACTCAGGACTCAGCTCCTGAGCACATGGTTATTTATTTATTGGCCCTCTGTGCATTTGACCCATCTGATTCGTAGTCAGCTGAGGAAGGTGGGTAGGTCCAGGTGGCTATTAGACTCTTTGGGGGGGGTTAGAAACAGGGTTTCTTTGTGTATCCTTGGCTGTCCTGGAACTAGCTTTGTAGACCAGGCTGGCCTCAAACACACAGCGAGCCCCCTGCCTCTGCCTCCCAAGTGCTGGGATTAAAGATGTGTGCCCCCACCACCCGGCTCCATCAGACTCTTCTTAGAGAATAAGAAATGGAAGTTGAGAGACTCTGGGTGACTTTCTCAGAGTTAGTGCCTCCCACTCTGACTACTGGGCAATGGTTCTCAACTTCACAGGGGTCACTGAAGACCATAGGAAAACACAGATATTTACATTACTATTCACAACAGTAGCGAATTTACAGTTATGAAGTGCCAACAAAAATCTTACGGTGGGGGCTCGGTACAACATGAAGAATCATTTTAAAGGGTCACAACATTAGGAAGGTTGAGAACCTCTGGTCTAGGAGGATATGCAGAGAACATCTAGAGGAAGAGAGTTTGGGGTCCAGAGCTCCTGGTCATTCTGGCCTGGGTGAGTCCTTCATGTATTAGAGAGCATTGTTTGTTTTGCTTTAATGCAGGCATAGTGGCATATGCCTGTCATCTGCACTTTGGAGGTAGAGGCAGGAGGATCAGGAGTTCAAGATTATCCTTAACTATGTAATGAATTGGAGGTCAGCCTGTGTTACTTGAGACCATGTCTCTAATTAAGCTTCTTCCACTCCTCAGGTACATATTACCATCCTTTAAAAAAATAAAATCTTAAAACTGCTAGGCTTGAGCAGTTTGACATTGAAGTATCTAAAGGCAGATTAGGGGACCAGGAGTTTTAAAGAAGAAACAGTAGTGCCCACTGTTATGATAATGCACGTGGGGAACCTTGGTGGATCCCACAGCAGGTAAGGATGACAGAGGTGGAGTAGGGGGGAGGTAAAGAGACAGAGACAGAGAGAGGACAGAAGAGAAGAGGGAGACAGGCGAAGTCCTGTCTGCCCTGGGGGAACAGCAGGAAAGAGGGAAAGAGAGTAAGTGGGCGGGGTCTTTTTTTTTTTTTTTTTTTTTTTTTTGGTTTTTTGAGACAGGGTTTCTCTGTAGCTTTGGAGGCTGTCCTGGAACTCACTTTGGAGACCAGGCTGGCCTCGAACTCACAGAGATCCGCCTGCCTCTGCCTCCCAAGTGCTGGGATTAAAGGCGTGCGCCACCAACGCCCGGCTGGGGTCTTTCTTTTAAAGGGTCCTTTGCACCTACATGCTGACCAGGGTACTGCCTGAGTGCATTCTGCCAAGTGACGGGCAGGCCAGCATAGTGCCTGAGTCTTACTCCCACATACCTTTGATTCCAGTCCTCAGGAGGCAGAAGCAGGCAGTTTGAGGCCTTGACAAACAAAAACCAAACGAAAATAAAAGGAGGAAACAAAATCTGAAAATTGGAAGGACTTGAGTCTTAGTGTCCCACAGCCATCCTCCAACAGCTGCTAGAATTCCCTCGGGACAGAGGCCTTAACTCACTGTCTGTTGTGCTCAACTCTTTCTTTGCAGACCCTGTCATCACATTTCCTCCCCCTGGAAGCCTGCCCTGATTGCCTTTACCTCCTTTCCTGAAAATTGCTGTCTCTGCAGAAGTGAAGCTTTGTGCAAATGCCCTAGGGGTGTGCTGTGGAGTGGGCACAGCCCCCTGTGATGCGGAACGCCACACTCAGACTCATCAGCTCCGTGAGCTTGCCTTTCCTTCCAGGTGAGAGGGAGGAGGGATGGCGCCTCTGACCAGTGATGGGAATCTGGGATTTTATAAGACCTGGGTTGCAGTGTGGCCTCGGATGTATCTCCTTTCCATTCCAGGCCTTGGTCTCCGCCTCTGTAGTTGAAAGGCGGGAGTAGGAAGGACATGTCAGTTTGGGCTCAGGAGCTGCTTCTCCTGAGAGGTCTGTCTGGCCTCTGGGAACAAGGTGGACTAGTGGTGTCTGCTATGGTGGTGATGGAGAAAGGCGGACGAACCTCAGTCACTTGCTGTCCTTTCTAGCCTCTCAGTGCAGGCTTTGTAGAGTGAGTGGCTAGCTTCATCTTGGCCTTTTGGAGCTTCATTGACTGCCAGAAAAACCGCTTGGCTTGTCAGTCACATAGTCAAAGGGACAGAAGGCTGCAGGGGGCTTGGCAGAGCCTTAGGACCTGCTCCAGGAACTGTAGCGTCCCTAGGGTAACAAGACCCCCAGGTAGAGGTTCTCTCCAAAGGCAGAAAAGGAAGCAGCAGGCCCATTCCTGAGTGTATCCTAAGGACACATCAGAACTGTTTCCTGTGCTGCTGTGTAGTGGGTGGAGTCAGTGCAGAGCACTGCTAAGGTGTCATGAGCTGCTCAAGCGGGAATGTGACGTGACCCTCACGGAAAGGACATTATGTGTTTATTCGGCAGTCGTTTGGGCTGTCAGCATGTGGCATGCTGTGTTCAAGGGTTCTCTCAGGGCCTCACTGTATCAGGTCTCTGCTACCTCCCCTTCTATGCCCCTGTGATCTGATGGCTCAGGGTTGCTTTACAATGAGCTTCTGTGCTCTGGGACCCAGTGTGATTGAGCCCTGTGCCTCTGGCTTCCCTGAAGGGAAGACTTAGAGACATAGTTCCCATAGTTGTCTGCCCATCACCCCTCCTTGCTTTGAGACAGGGTCCGATAGAACCCAGGCTGGCTCTGAACTCATTAGGTAGCTAAGGAGAACCTTTAACTTTGGTCCTGCTGTCTCTACATCCCAAGTGTTGAGATTATAGGTATGTCAGCCAGACAAGCACTCTACGGATGAGTTATAGCCTCAGCCTCAAGAGTCCAGTTCTGAGCCTTCCACTGAAGCATATGGTCTCAGACTTTTCCAGAGCACCTAATTTGACCCCTCCCATTTAACACAAAGATGAGGAAACCAAGACCTGGAAAAGAGCACAGGAGGAATTTACCTATGTTCTGATCTACATCGTGATGCCCAGCCCTCCCAGGTTTCTGGGCCCAGGACTTCAGACCTGGTGCTTTATGTCTGACTCCTCCTACCTGTTGGGGAGTGACCTGCAGGCTGGGGTCACCTAAGCACTCACTGTTCTTCAGATGATGCTTGAAGATGAGAACATGGCTCTGTATGGTACAAAGTCCTAGATGTCAGTCTGCTTGTCGGTCTGTTTATTATTCATGAGGAAACACGAGCTCCCAGGTTTTTTGGCAGGGTCTGGAATTCTGTCCCTTCTCACCCCTCAAGTGTCCTGGAGGCTCCCCAGGGAACTGTGTGCTTTTCTAGCTACAGTCTAGGGTTTCTGCCCCTTAAATGCTTGCACCAGCTTGGGGAACTTGGACCACAAGGTTTTCTTGTCACTGATACTTACCTTGCCATTTTCCCAAAGAACCCAGAGACTCAGGGAGGCATCTGCCCTGGAGGGGTGGGCTCTCACCTTTGGGTGAGGTCTGGACTCTGAGGGGCAGGAGCTACTGAGCATGTAGGCCTCTTTGTAGATGCAGGAGACCTGGGTTCGAATCCAAGCATTGCCACTTCCTAGCAGAGTAGGACAAGCTGATCTTCTGCTTCCCTGAGACTCACCATTCTCATCTACCCTAAAGAGATAACAAGGCGCCTCTCAGAACTACCGTAGTGGGCAAATTAGACTCACACCGTGGCAGATTCACAGCATCAGATAAGCCCTGGCCCATCTGCCACCAGAAGACTGTACAGACACCCCCAAACCCTCACAGACTGGCACAAGAACTGGAAACTAAACAGAAGAGATCATCACAGGCCACAGGGACGTTCCATTAGCTTTAAGGTTGATGGAGGATGGAGAAACACAAACCCAGGCTGTGTACCGCCATGGGGGGGAAGCAGTCCACAGCCCCAAAGAAGGCAGAAGGAGACCTTGAGTCACCCTCCGTATTCAGTCTTAATTCACTGGTCTATTGGGAGCCATGCTGGCAGGACAGTAGCCATCCTCAGCAGTGTGGGGACTGTCTTCCGGGGCTTCCAGAAAAAAGCCTCCCTCTTCCACTTCCATTTCCCCTCCCCCTCTCCTTTTGAAAAAGGATGTCCTCCCTCAGGCAAAATGTCCTGACCCCTGGGATGCATAGTTGGCTCAGGAAGAGCCTGGAAGCCAGCATAGAACAAAGGTGCTACCAAGAATAAAGGGGCGTTTTCCTTACTCTGCCTGAGCAGAGCCATCTGATTCGGCCTTGGACCTAACAGCCAAATCATAGAATTTTGTAGCTGGAGACCGGAGCTCTGGGCTGGAGAGATGGCTAAGTGGGTAAAGGACTTGCTGTGCAAATGAGGGCCCGGTTTCAGCTCCCCAGCGGGTCTAACCAAGGTATTGAGCTCCGTGTACAGTAAGAGAGCCTGTCTTAGAAAACAAGGTAGAGAGTGATGATTGAGGGTGACGCTGGACATTAGTCTTTGGCCTCCATACATACAGACACAAAGGGACCCCACCTCTGTGTGAGACAGGCCCACAGACGCCTGCCATCCCCTCCCCCAGAGTGTTCTCAGAGCCCTCTGTCCTCCTCTTCCCTGGCTCTTATCGTAACCACCATTAAATATTTAATGTTGCAATTAGTTATTTACTGTCTGTCTCCTCTCCTGGACTGGAGGTCTTGGGAGGGCAGGACCAAGTGGACCTGGCTCACTGCTGTACCCCTGGCACTCAGCCTTGGCCTTGGAATTTTAGGAAATTAAACATTTGTTGAATGCAGTTAATGAGGACAGTAAATTTTTATACTTTGGAGAGGGACTTGGCAATATAATCCAAGAATTTTTTTTAAAGCCCTAATATCAGGCAGGATGCTTTTGGCTGTAATGAAGAACACTGGTTCACACTGCCTTAAGCAATAGAAAACACACCCTTTCTGAACTGAGTACCGGAGAAAAGTGTGGCCTGATGTTCTCCGTGCCGTGGCCGTTAGCAGTATTGGCCTCTGCCTGCATTTGGGCAGTAGCAGGAGGTGCATGGGTTGGGAGGAGGCAGACCTCTACCACTCCTAAGGAGATTGTTTGAGCAATGGTTAGGTGCCCACTCCTGAATAAATGACTGCTGAGAGAAAGCCGTTCCCCAGTAACCTTAAGCTAATCAGTGTCTGCCTCGGAAACAAGACAGGGTAGCACCTGGCTAAAACCATTGTCTGCCAGCAGCCATCAGGGAGGGGGTTGGGGTCTCCACACCCTCGACACCTGCCAGGAAATCAGAACCAGCTCAGAAAGATGTCCATCTCAGTGTTTGCTTGTTTTGTTTGAGACGGCGGTGACCTTGAACTTCTGACCCTCCTGCCTCCACCTCCCAAGTGCTGGAATCACGCTTCAGCGTTTATTTAAGAGAGAGGAGAGAAAAACTTGGATCAGATTCAGGAGGTAACTGCATTGAAATATTTAAGTCAATTATGTGCCGTCTGTACGAGGGACAATTACAGTGGCATTGAAACATTTATCCAAAGTGTTAATGACATTGGGCAATGCTACAATATGATGTTAGATGAAAAATACCAGGATTTAAAATTGTATTTACAATGAGAGTCCAGTTATTTTTTAAGAGCACAGAACAGTGCTGGGTTAAATGTTGACGGTAAGGCCTCTCTGACCTATAGGGGACTGTGATTTTTGACTCCACTTTAGGCTTTTCTGGCCAGCCCCTTCTGTTCCTCTCTGCACAGACTTTTGTTCCTACTCTGGTCACTCTACCAGACTTGGGACTGTCCTCTGCGTTTTATGCACAGTCCCTATTTAATCCTTATAGCCATCCTGTGAAGTAAAAGGGTTTTGATGTTTTTGTTGTTGCTTTGCTGAGGCATTTACAGAAGTTCCAACATATTTAGTCACAAAGTCACCTAGACAGTGTATATGGAAGCCTTTGGAGTTCCAGCCTGTCTCTACTGCCAAATGAGGTTGTCTGCTGCTTGTCCATAACCAGGCACTAAAAATCCCATTTTTGTTCTCTAGGGGCTTGTTTTATTTGGTATATTAAATTTTTAAAATTACATTTATTTAGTGGGGGTGGGGGTGGGGTGTGCATGTGCCACAGTTTGTATGGCAAGATTAGAGGTCAAGTTTTGGGAGTTGGGATCCCTAGGACTATGTGAGTTCTGGGGGTGAGGCCAGGCTTGGCAGCAAACGCCTCCCTGTCCCTGGCCTTGATGCTGATTGTTGCAATGCTAGGAGGTAGGGGGTGGGGTGAGGTCATACCTCAGGTCTCAGACACACTAGACAACTCACAGTGCCTCCATTCATTGAGTCAGACTTGGAAATTCATTTGTTCGTTTCATCCTTACCACCTCAGAGAGACCAAGCGAATGATCCAAAATCACATAGCTAGGAAGTGGTGTGGTCATAGGAGAGTCACATGGTTGTGATAAGGAATCCCTTTTCCTCCCACCAACCTTTAGAGTTGCCTGAAGCCCTGCTGCCCTGCGGACCATGTTTAACGGGGAGCCTGGTCCAGCCTCAGCTGGGGCCTCCAGGAACGTGGTACGGAGCTCCAGCATCAGCGGCGAGATCTGTGGATCCCAGCAAGCAGGGGGTGTGGCCGGGACCACCACAGCCAAGAAACGGCGAAGCAGCCTGGGTGCCAAGATGGTGGCTATCGTCGGCTTGACCCAGTGGAGCAAAAGCTCACTGCAGCTCCCCCAGCCGGGTGAGGGGTGTGGACACCAAGGGATGGGGAGGTGGAGGGAGAGTGTGGAGAGAGGGAGGGAGGAAGTGTACTGCTGTTGAGTCCCCAGCAACTGAGGGTAGGTGCACACTTTGTGGGTGCTATATATGGGCCCGAGTGTGTGATATTCTGTAGTCCTCAGGGAAAGTCAGGTACTCCAGACTGCACAGCATAGGATGGTGGAGTCCAGACTCGAACCCCAGTGTGTCTCCTAGTTCCTGCTCTTTCCATGCTTCGGCTTCCAAATACTGACTTACGCGTTTATAAGAAGTTACTTGAAATAGTCACACTAAGGGACCCCCACACTTTTATAGACATACATGCTCATGGTCCTGTCCTATTTGTCATTTCTCAGTCCCCCAAAGACAAACAGCCCCACAAATATAGTTACACAGTCACACGTAGGTGTTGCAAAGTCACAAGAGAGAGACACAAATACATGGCCCCTGCAGTGACATACCCAGAGTGCTCATTTGTGCAGGCAAGCCACTTCTGCTACCAGGAAAGCAGGGTCCAGTTATTCTCATTACACTGTCCATGGTCACAAATAACTCTAAACACAGTTCTCTGAACACAGACAAAAAGAGCCACATCACTTAGATGCACATGTGACTCACAAAGCCATACGTATACCTCATATATAGGGTGTGCGTTTTCAGGCATCTGGCTACAGAATTGAGGTTATGTTCAGACTTGGGGGTACCAACCTTGTCTCACACAGCCACCTGTGGCCCCCAATCACAGAGGAGCTGGTTCTCCCCACCCAGACCTCTGTTTGTGGCATTGGTCCAGACACCAGCTGGCTTTGTTTTAAATCTCTTCCTGCTTATTTTGCTCAGAGTAACAACTTCCCCCCAAAAACCTTCAAGTAGGCAGCTGGACGGGGGTGGGGAAGGGTAGAATGCCGGAGCATCCAGGGAGGATGCTCATCAAGATGCCCCATTGGGGCTGGTATTTGGGGGTGCTTTTCCAGACCTTAAAATAGATTTTTGCAAAGCTGTCTACAGGAACACTAATGATGGTCTTTTCCAGCACTCTGGCTCCCATGTGCTTTCTGCTCAGGGAGAGACAAGATGGGGAGGGTCTTGAAGTTAATAGATTTCAAATTAGGGAGCAGGGAGGTGGGGAGCTGGACTGGGACAAGGAAGGCTGGGATAAAACCAACTTGGGGGATTAAGGTTAGAAGGTCCTGGAGCATCGGGCGGTGGTGGCGCATGCCTTTAATCCCAGCAATCGGGAGGCAGAGGCAGGCGGATCTCTGTGAGTTCGAGGCCAGCCTGGTCTACAGAGCGAGTTCCAGGACAGCCTCCAAAGCCACAGAGAAACCCTATCTCATAAAAAAAAAGTCCTGGAGCTGTTGGAATCCAGATCCAGACCCAAAGATGTCTTGCATGCAAAGTGATTGGGAGAGACAGTCTCCAAGGCCAAGGCAAGACCTGAGTCACTGGGAGTCATTGCAGGGATCTACCATGGCTTCAGACAGCAGCAGTCTGGGGTGGGAGCAGATTCCAGGAAGACCTGCCTTGGGAGATACGAATGATGCTGGGGCCTCTGGATGCCTTGTCTTCGTGGTATGTGAGGGCATGACTAAAGACCCAGGGTCTGGGGCCAGGGGATTTGCCCAGATGCCTTTCCAAGTGCAGGTCCCTGTGAATCATCTAATCACTGAATGTCATAGCAGGAAGGGCCCTCGAGGTCATCCAGTCTGATGTACTCATTTATCTGTGAGACTTCCAGAGCCTGAGGAGAAGGCACTTCTCTGGGGAATAACCTCAGGCTGGCCTTTGCAGCCACACTACATCAGTTACTCGCTGGACAGTTCAGGCAAGCTGCTTCACCTCTCTGAGCCTGCTGTTTGTTTGTTGAAGACAAAATATATGCTTTATAGAGCTATTCAGGGATTAAATAAGATAGATGTGCAAAGGTACCCAGCCTCTCATGAATGGCATATAGGAAACATTCAGAAAAGTGTTGAGCCTTTTTAAAAGATGTAATTTGTATTACTTTTAATTGTGTGTGTGTTCCCATGCGCATAAGCGTGTGTGTATGTGTTCCCATGCGCATAAGCGTGTGTGCATGCATGCATATATACATGCAAGCTTTGAGTATGCCCATGCCTCAGCTTGGAGCATCATCCTGGCTGGGAGACTCTGGCACTACAGGTCAGTATGTAGTCATCTCACCAGGGATTGCTGCTCTGAGAAAAGATCCCAGAAGGGCGCCCCTGTTGCCCCAAGTGGAATGGCTTGATTCTCTGTAGAGCTGGGCTATAGGGAATCAGGAAGAATTCCTCTCCTAGACCTAGCTTCTTGCAAGAACCCCGTCCTCTTTGTTCCTTTGCCTCAGTTCATATAGTACAATGTCTAGTCTGTAACATCAGTGGCCCTCAAGTCCCCTGACTGACTGTCCTCTTCCAGTGTGTCAATATGATGCACTATTGCAGACCTCCAAAATCTCATCCTGTGCTTTAGAGGGCTAGTTCTGGATTCATAGCTCTCCGTGGAACTGTTGTAAAGTCACTTTTGGGTCGGGACTCAGTTTCCTCTTCTGTAAATTGAAGCTAAAGATGCTCTCTCCCTACTTCCTTTGAGATCTGTCAGTTCTCTAAATTGTGGGCGCAAAGAAGAGTGAGATCAGAGTTTTGGGGTCCTAGGACCTGAGTAAAATCTGGCCTGGCCTTAATTAGGCTGAGCCCACAGGGGCTCATGCTGGGTGGAAGCAACTGCCTTCTAAATGTCCAGTACCAAGGACAGAGTCCTTCTCTCCTGAGCCAAAGAATGTTGCTGCAGGCCATGACTGCCCCTCTTTTGTATGGGATAGGACAGATAGAATGGCTCCTGGAATTTTTTCTCCAAGGAACACTGAATTATTGCAACCACTTGAATCGGTTCTCTAGAAAGAACCACCATAAAGTTATTCCCTGGATCAGCAGGGGCCAAAGCTGGACAGGAATGAAGCCAGTGGGAGGATTTCGCTCTTGAGTTTGCGAGACCTTTCCCCTAGCACTGAAGACACAGGAGTTTAATCTCTGCTGAGTCACACCTCCAAGAGGGGAAACACTGGGGAGGGGAGGTGGCATCTCAGCAGGCAGGGAGTCTGAGGGCCTGGTGACTAGCCCCAGCTCTTTGGCATCAGAACCACAGACCCCTCATCTGGGAAGTGGTGGAGGGGCCTGGAGAAGCATCTCTGACCTTTCAGGATTCTATGAGTTCCCCACTCACGGGCACTCACGCTGAGTTGGGCAGGTCTTATCTAAGAAGGTAATTTCACTTCCAAATGGGCCAGAGCTTTCCCAGCCTCTAAAAGAGCGTGTGTTGAGGGGGTGAGGATGTGAGGGGGAGGCAGGGTGACTTGAAGCACCCCCCCATGGCCATCTGTCTTCTAACTGGGTTAGAGGGGATGAGGCAGTTAGGAGCCAGGGACAGAGAGAGTCCCATGGTAGGTCACATGCCATGTGTGGGAGGACATTGTGTGTGGTGAATAGATGGGCTCAATTCTAGGTATTAAAGATCACACACACATATATATAGCCTGTTTGACAGTGTACACTGTATCCATGTAAGACCTGGAGGGCCTGTGTGACTTTGTATAAACAGTAAATAGACACATGATATCATACATGAGGTTATTGTATTCATAAATGTGATAGTCAGCACTCCTGTGTGTCTGTCTTATCCATGTGTAAGAGAAATGTGCCTGAGCTAAAATGACTTTGAGAGAGACAGAGACAGACAGACAGACAGACAATGATCCCTGGATATGCTAGCTATTCTGACAGCTGGCGCTGAGTTTAGAGAGCATCTGCTTCTGCACATTGTCCCCTGGTCTCATCACCTCCCCTCCACCACCCTATGTTAGTATTTGTCCCCCTGGCTGTCTCTCATCTAGTGGGGACTTCCTGAAAGGTAAGTGGGGTAAAATAGGAGGAGTAGGGACCTACCTTTCCCAAGCTGTGGACTTGAGCATTCTCTCCCCAGCCCACTGTTGGCTGCCTTTGGGATAAATGTGCTGTTACCCTGCCCTAGGCACCCTTGCAGACCATTCAACTAACAATTTTCTTGGGCTTATAACTAGTGGCAGCAAATGGCTCCTTTGGTATACAGTCTCTGTCTGAGTGCCACTTCCCTCATCAAGTTGCTCAGCAATCAAGCTTTAGCAGGGGAGTCCCAACCCCAGCCTGTCTCCCCTACCCCTCCCCACCCAGGAGGAGAGCTGTCTAGAGGGACCACATTGCAATGCTAAGGAGGTTGCCATGGAAACCCAGGCAGGCTGGTGTGCTACTCAGAGGGAAAGTGCCCTGTGTTTCCTGTCAGGCTGACGAAGGGCCTGGAGGCCCCTGAATAGAAGGCACAGAGGCAGGGGAAGGGGGCTTTGCTGTGGGCCTTCTCAAATCCAGCATCAGTCCAGGACAAGCTAGCCACCCCACTCCTCCTGCGGTTTTACCTTCCAAGGTCCAACTTGCCATTCGTGATGCTCTCCTTTAGACTTACATTGAAAAGGCAAATTTCAAACGGTCAGACTTCCAATAGGGGATTTTTCTGGGGCAGCAGAGAGGTGGGCTTTGGGGTCTGGTAGGATATGCAAAAGAGGCAAAGTAACCCTGGAAATCCTAGAGCAGACAAGCTTTCCAGAAGTGAGAGGAAAGGGCAACTCTTAACAGAATAGGAAGGGCAGAGTCAAGAACCTAGTGGAGCAGGAGGGTCCTCTGGCTGCAGAACTCCCAGCCCACAGCTGCATTTTTTTTTTGTTTTGTTTTATGAGACAGGGTTTCTCTGTATTGTTTTGGAGGCTGTCGGTCCAGCCCGGCCTCGAACTCACAGAGATCCGCCTGCCTCTGCCTCCCGAGTGCTGGGATTAAAGGCATGCGCCACCACCGCACGGCCCACAGCTGCATTTCTATCTGAGTACATAGCTTGTCCCTGGGCATCTTTCTCTATCATTACCCTGGGCTGGGTCAGTTTAGGGTCAGCTCAGTGGTGTTCCAACCTTGGCAGATCCCCACTTGCTTCTGTTTAGGGGATTGATTTGACAGTTCCCCTCGAGAAGCCTGGGCCATGTTTTGACCTTGTTCCCTCTCTCTTATTGGGTTGGGGACCCCAGAAGGGGCCACTAAGAAGCTGCGCAGCAATATCCGACGGAGCACAGAGACTGGCATTGCGGTGGAGATGCGAAGCCGAGTCACGCGTCAGGGCAGCCGGGAGTCAACGGATGGAAGCACCAACAGCAACAGCTCCGAGGGCACGTGCGTGCACCTGACAATTTCATTTCCAGACAAGATGTCTACATACCCCCTGCCCCAGCCTCCCTCTCCCCTCTCCTAGATATCTGGTCCCTGGGCCCCAGGTCTCCCTATGGCTCCCAACAGAACACCTCAGTGGGCCTGGAGAATATCATTTGTTCTTTTACTTCAAGAAGGATCTTGGGCTTCCTGCCTCCTATCACCCTGCTCCAGGGGAGACGAGCAGAAAGGAAAATGTGACCCTAAATTCCTTTCAAGCCTAAACTCATTTTCATGGCTTAGTTGTGTGAAATCTTTATAAATCACCTTGCTTGGAGATTAAGGAAGAAAATTGGACTAGATCCATGTTTTTAGAACTGTCACATCTTACCTTGTGACTCATAGGCAGGAAGTAAAATAGCTGTAGTGGGTCAAAAGCAGCATTAGAGAAAGAAATAGAAAACGCAGATGTAGCCTGTGTAGCGGGGAGAACCGCCTGGAGACCTTGAATTCTTCATCCAGGATGCACATAGGTCAACAGTGGGCTGCGGTGCTGGCAAACCCTTTCTTTTTTGCATGTGAGTTGGAGTAAGCATTTTAAAGTCACTGCTTTCGATAGTCTACAGGTCTGTTCTAAATCAGACTTTGTAGACTTTCTGCCTCTGTTTCATCAGGGCCCTGTAATTTTCAGTCTCAGGATCCTGTAGCTTATTTAATGTTTAGTTATTGTCTCTCACTCTACTGTACAGTGAGCCCGTGGCATCCCTGTGGGATTGGTTCCAAGACCTCCCATGGATCTAAAACCCTGAGCTTCTTGAATCTCTCGAATAAACTGGATAGTGTTTGTATACTACCTGCACACATCCTCCTGTGTCCATCAGATCCTCTCTTGATCACTTGTAACACCCAGTCTAAGCTAAATGCAATAGAGATGCTTGTTATACAGGTCTTAAAGTTCAGGCTGGCCTTGAATTCAGAATCCTCCTGCCTCAGCCTCCTGAGCACTGGTATTAAAGGTGTACACACCAATTCCCAGCCTAGACTGGGAATAATGATAAGAAAAAATTCTGTTTATATGCAGTACCACTTTTTTCTTCATACGTTCAATCTGTGGTTGATTGAATCCACACATGCCAAACCTGTAGATATAAATGGGGCATGGAAACAAGTAGACATTGTCATTTACTACCTCCTACCTTGTCCAGAGCATTGATGGGTACTTCAGGCTAGTGACTCTCTCTGGAAGCCATGTGCTATGATTATTTAACACTTGTGCCCACCCTGAGTGAACGTGGAAAACCTCAGTGTCTCCGTGTACAAGTGAGGGAACTGAGGCTCCTGAACGGCAGAGGCTCTTTACCCACAGGCACAATTCTTAAGACACAAGTCATTGTTTACACTAAGGTCACTTGATCCCATAACCTTTATTCATCGTCTCCGCACTGTATACTAGTCACCACGCCCACCCCTGCCCAGTTCTGAGACTTTGAGTCTACATCTCTTTATTTCTTCTGAGGTCTCATTGTCATAGGAATGTGACACTAGGACTGGGTGTGGTGCTGCACACCTATAAGTCCAGCATTTGGTAGGTGGAGGTAGGACCAAGTGTTTAAGGTCAGAGACTTAACTACATAGTGAGTTCCAAACCGGCCTGGGCTACAAGAGACATTAAGTTAATAAAAGAGGGTGGATGGAGAGAGGAGGAGGAAAACCGAAAACTGAGAGGGCTGGGCTCAGTCAGTAAAGTGCTTGCTATACAAGAACAAGAGCCTGAGGGGGGGGGCGGGTCTCCAGCATCCATGTGAAAAGACTGGATGCAATTGTACACATGCCTAGAATCCCGTTATTGAGGAGGCAGAGACAGGAGGATCCCTAGGGCTTGCTAGCAGCCCATCTCTTCAAATCTACAAACTCTAGGTTCAATGAAAGACTGTCTAAACAATTAAGGTAGAAAGTGATTGAGAAGACACCCAATGATGACCTCTGACTCTGCGCGTGCGCGCGCGCACACACACACACACACACACACACACACACACACACACAGAGCACACATATGTACCCACCTTAATACACAAAAAGAATAACACTAGGCTATTGCTGATCATAGTTAATAAAAGTAGATGCCTTAAAGCCTCTTCCTGGGGGTGGCCTTGTAAGAGAAAAGCTGCTTCTGCCCCCCACAAACCTATTGCTCCCTGCCTGTCACTGACCACTGGAGTCCCTATTCCAAACTGTCCAACGAGATTCTTCTCTGACCCACCTTTCATGGCTGCCTGCCACTAAGAGATCTGCATATTCTAGTTCATCGGCCCGTGAGCAAGCTGTCCCTGTTGGCCGTACCCAGAACATCTGGGCCTGAGGACACACTGGCAGCAGCAGAGGCAGCAGCAAAATTTACTGCCATTTTTTCGTATCTCATGTGTCTAGAACTTTTTCCCCACACCATCCCCCAGTGAGCGAGGTGTCATCCCTGCTGCAGACAAGGCCAGTCTCTTACCTCTTGGAAAGGTCTGTTTCATCTGTAAGATTGGATAATGACTCCTACCACACAGCCATAAGGATTAATGATACAAGGCACGTGGAACATTCGATGCGTTGCTGGCAGCTGGCCTGCTTTCAATCACTGTCAGTTTTTCTTGTTACTATTTCCAGCCCCCTCCCCTCCAGTCATGGACCACCCACAATCACCTGCCATTCATCTCAACCTCATCGTTAGGTTATTTTGGTCTTTGCTGCCGTTTTGAGAACCCTCTCACCTTATTGACTTGGATTTTAAGTTTCTGGTTAAAAAAAAAAATCAAACCTCAGTTCTTGGAACTCATTCCAGGCAGTAAGAGTCCATCCAGCTTGTCTCTCATTCTTGGCATTGGCATGCTCTCAGGATGCCTGTGTCCAGCAAGCCCTGCCCTCTAATGCTCACTTAAGAAATCTCTGGGGCTTGGACTGGGATGCAGCTTAGTTGGTAGCATGTTCATCCAGCATGCGTGAAGCTTTGGTGTCTGTCCCTAGCGCTGCATAAACTGGACTTGCTGGTACATGCCTGTCATCCCAGAAGGCAGACGTATGATGATCAGGAATTTCAAGGTCAACCTGGCTACATCATGAATCTGAGGCCAGCTTGGGGTGCACGAGACCTTGTCTCAAAGAATAATTAAACATAAGGATTTGATGTCTTACATATCTTCATTGGTCTCTCTAATGATATCAAAGTGTCTTTCTCCAAGCCAGACACTGTGGTACCTGCTTGTTACCACTTGGGAGGCTAAGGCAGGAGGATTGTCGTGAATCTGAGGCCAGCCGGGGCTACCCAGTGAATTCTAGGTTGGCCAGAGGTACACAGTCTGAAACACAAAGCCTGACATATTTTTCCTCAATGTGCAAGAGTGAATAAGTGTTCACTCCCAGTTAGAGTATTATAGTCACACTGTATAGGTAAGAAATGGAGGCCCAGCTCCCGGGTGCAAGACCTCTGCGTCTGTCCCCGTGGCTAGCCCACTGGCTACCCTCACATGTCCTCTGCTTCCTTCTGCAGCTTTATTTTTCCCACGAGACTTGGAGCTGAAAGTCAGTTCAGCGATTTTCTGGATGGCCTGGGACCAGCCCAGATTGTGGGGCGACAAACATTGGCAACGCCCCCCATGGGTAAGTCTTGCAGAAGAAGGACAAGCAGGGTGTGTGGGGGGCACAGCAGAAGGTGCTCAAGAGGGTCCTTGCATGGTAGGGCAGACAGCAGGAGGGACAGGAGTCCCAGCCTCCCTCTCCTCACTGCTCAGCCCCAGCTTTCCAGACTGCCCCGCCTCCCTGCTGTGTAAACTGAGTCACAGTGTTGGCTCCAGTCGATTTAGCTTCTCTGACCTTGGACAAGTCAGTCACTCCCCTTCTTTGAGCCTTGGGGAACAAAACGGTATCAGTAATCCCTGCTCTGGTTCTCCAATCTCTCAGCCCTTTTCTGACTCCTCTGAGATACGTTCTGTAAAGCATTTTAATGTTCTCCTTAGAAGCTGTGGCTAATTGGACTTGTGACTCCCAACAGCGTCGGGCACCGAGGGACCTTTAGTCATGTTCTCATCTCTCTTCCTAGAAGCTGGGAAGCTTTCTCAAAGCCCACATCTTAGCTGCTCTCCAGCCTTCCCCTCCCCGTGTCCAGGCAGGCTACCCCATTAGTCTGACCTGAGCTTTGTCTGAACCAGATGTCTCTACTCAGCCCCAGCCTGATGGCTCTTGACCTTTGACCCCCACAGCAAATGAGGGAAGTGAGTGCAGAGAGTGGAGCTGGGATTCCGTGCCAGTTTAGGACTCTGTATGTGGCACTGTCCTTCCTTCCTTACAAGAGGAGTCCACAAGACCCTCAGTCCACTCTTCTGTCCCTGGGTATTGGATTTGTTAATTCCAAGATTTTGATTGGTACTGTTCAGTATCCCAACCCTGTCTCCCTACACACAATGAGAAGTGCCAGCCACTGCTATAGTATTTAATGACCCATCAGAACCTAGACTATTTTGTGTGTGGTGCCCCCTTGTGTCTCAAACCAGGAAAGACAAGTGTACATTCATGGTTAAGCATGTTGCCATAGAGATTGAGACCTTTTCTTCTCCTTGTTGAGGTCAGAAACCACTGGAGGGAGAAGGATGGACTTCAGGGTGTCTCTGACTGTGGTGAATCCCTGCCCCTGAAGTATGCCAATACCAGCAATAACAGGCTAGCCATGGTGCTTGACTGAATTCAATCTCACCCATTTGATTTTTTGGTGAGGTGGAGATCAAGTTTATAATTCTTCACCCATTTGAAGAGTGTTCCAAACAACTACTGTGTAATTCTAAACTTAGCTCATGCACGATGAGCAAAGCTTAGAGTTCCTTCAAGTCAGCATGACAGAGACCCTTACCTTTTTGGACAGAGTTATGAGCTCTCAGTTTTCAGCACACAGAGGATCTGCTCCCTTTGTCCAGGGTCCAACAAGGCCTGGGCAGGCTCATAGCTTAGCATCTCTTTGTGTGGCTACTCTCTTGGTATCTGACATATACTAAAGAGACTGGCTGAGGGCTGCTGTGTAGGCTCTGGCCCCTAGAACTGCCTGTCCTATGTAGTGGAGTAGAAGCCCCCAGTCCGCCAGACATTAGTTATGGCCTAAGCATGTGCCTCTTGCGGGTCAGGCCCCCATAGTCTATCACAGTGTTTCTCAGTTCCTTTGAAGTGATCTCCTGAGACCAGTTTGAACAGTGCCATTTGCTCTGTCCTGCTCCTTTCCAGAGATATCGAGCATCCCCTGCAGGGCCATTTCACCTGGACCTCATCTTTTCCCTTGCAGGAGACGTGCACATTGCCATCATGGACCGGAGCGGGCAGCTGGAGGTGGAAGTGATCGAAGCTCGGGGCCTGACCCCCAAACCAGGCTCCAAATCCTTCCCAGGTGAGTGAGGGTAAGCAGCTGGGAGGTTTGAGGAGGGATCCTGGCAAGGATGGGGTACTAGCAAGTCCTCAGCTCACCGGTGCCCTGAAGTGGTGCTGTTGGCAGTGATTCATACCTTGCCTGGAAGACCAGTGAGCAAGATGGGCCAGCTCATCCCACCTTACCCCCATCCCCACCAGAACCACCTGGAGGGTGGAGACTAGACAAGCCATGGCATCTCTCCCAACTGTGCTCCTTCATTTCAGCCACCTACATCAAGGCTTACCTGCTGGAGAACGGGGCTTGTGTAGCCAAGAAAAAAACAAAGGTGGCCAAGAAGACTTGTGATCCCTTGTACCAGCAGGCTCTGCTATTTGACGAGGGGCCCCAAGGCAAGGTTCTGCAGGTTAGTGTTTACAGGGTAGACACTCAAGTTCAGGTCAAACGTTGAAGCAGGTGCATTCATTTACATCACCTCTTCTTTACCACTGTGTGGGGTACACATTATGGGGCAGGGCACACGTGTAGAGTGGAGTCCATTCTCTTTCACCTTGTCGTGCCTTCCAGGGATTGGTTTTTTGTTTTGTTTTGTTTTTACGAGACAGGGTTTCTCTGTATTGTTTTGGAGGCTGTCGGTCCAGCCCGGCCTCGAAGTCACAGAGATCCGCCTGCCTCTGCCTCCCGAGTGCTGGGATTAAAGGCGTGCGCCACCACTGCCCGGCTCCTTCCAGGGATTGAACTGAGGTCCTTCAGCTTCTATGGAAAGCATGTCACCTGCTGAGCCATCTTGCTAGCCCCCTTTTTTCTTTCTCTCCCCTCCCCTTCTTCCCCTGTATTTTATTTTCACAGCCCATGCTTTTGTTCCCCATCAATTCAGAGGGTTCAGAGCATAGCAAAATAGCTTCCCTGTTCTCCTGGCTGGCTTCCTCCACTTCCTACCTGTGCTGGGTGTTGCTAGGCAAATGATTTATATCTTCCTCAGAGCTGGTCCTGGGGAGGAGGTGTGGCTTCCCCATTTTGCAAATGAGGACACCGGGTCTCAGAAAGATGATGGGGACTGCTCAGTTAAGTGACGAGCAGAACTGAGCCCAAGTCTGGGTGGCTCTTCCTGATGAGCGTGGGGGAGGAGGTGTTGCTTCATTGTGCCCCTTCAATAGATAAAACTGAGTTCACGTGGGCCTGCGTGGTTTTCTTCTCTCAGTCCCGAGATCACATTCCTGCTTGGCACTCACTGTGGTCAGGTGTGTGGAGAAGAAATGGCCCAGGGGTTAAGACCATATACTGCTGTTGTAGAGGACAGTCTGTCAGGTCCAGGAGGTCCCAGTGCCTCTGTGGGTACCTTCGCTGATGTTTTTGCATGCACATACACATTTTTTAAAAGATTTATTTTGTATACAGTGTTCTGTCTGCATGTAAGCCAGAAGAGGGCGCCAGATCTCACTACAGATGGTTGTGAGCCACTATGTGGTTGCTGGGAATTGAACTTGGGACCTCTGGAAGAGCAGCCAGGGCTTTTAGCCACTGAGCCATCTCTCCAGCACATACCCATTTTTAAAACATTAAAGAGTTTGCACATAGGCAGTCATTCACTAAGTTAAAAGTGGTGGTGGCTTGCCTTGCCTGAAGCTTGTCTTGCTTTTTATAACAAGCACCTGAGATTCATTTTAAAAGAGAAAAGATTATTCTGACTGAGTTTTAAAGACTCAAGTCCACTGCCAGTTGGGGTCGTGGAGGCAGCTGCTCACCTCGGGGCACTCGGAAAGCCGAGGAAAAGCCTGGAATCCCATAATCTCCTTCAGGAATCCACCTCGGATGTTTTTAATCCTCCAGCTAGTCCAACTGATAGCAGGCTGTTCCTCCCAGCTGTGGTGGTTCTGTCGCAAGGGCCCATGGGGTTACAAACCAAAGAACGGCAGAACTGTAGGATTCTGGGCTAGAGATCCAATATCAGATGTCTGTTTTTAAAGATGTTTGAAAAATCATTGAGCCTAATCTCTTCCTCCTCGAGTTCCAGATGGAGACAGGGCAAGGGGCTTATTCGGGTCTATAGCAGCCAGCAGCTTCGACCCTGGACTCTGCTTCTTTGTGGAGAGAGTTGCTGCCTTAGGCGCTGGGAGGCCTGGAACCAGATCCATCCAGGATCTAAGCCGGGATCACTCTGGGGCTTTGTGTTGGTTAATTAAGTCTCTGAACCACAGGGGCAAAAATACTTGTTACAACAGTTGAGATGATGCGTGACCCAGGTGCTCAGAAAGTCCAGACCCATGTCACTCTTTAATTCTGACTCTCCCATCTGTGCCCTGGGGAAGCTGGTAGGTTCCTGGGCTCACTGCCCAGTCCTGGAGGTTCAGTGCCTCACTCTTCCTCTCCCTGCTGCCAGGTGATCGTCTGGGGAGACTATGGCCGTATGGACCACAAATGCTTCATGGGTATGGCCCAGATCATGTTGGATGAGCTGGACCTGAATGCCGCTGTCACCGGCTGGTACAAACTCTTCCCCACGTCCTCTGTGGCTGACTCCACGCTCGGATCCCTTACCAGGCGCCTGTCCCAGTCCTCTTTGGAAAGTGCCACCAGCCCCTCCCCCTCGTGCTCCTAAGGACATCACTGAGGACAAGAGGCCAGGGGCTGATGGGTGAAGGGAGCCCGCTGGCACACCACCCCCTGTACATAGTCTCCGTGTCTTTCTGGACCCCTGACCCTGCTGCATGCCTGTTGGCCACTGGGCTTGTCCCAGCTGGCAGTGGAGACTGTAGTGTGTCTGTGTGTATGTGTGACCACATTATATCCATTTGTCTGGATACAGTCAGTCCTGGTGACACATGGAATGCAATCCATGTCTCTATCTTGCTGGAAAGAATCTAAAGGTACACCATGTGGACACGTCTTGCCCCTGGAGTCTCAAGGGGCGGAAGTAGAGGGTGTGGCCACTGGTGGGCCTGGTTGTCTTATGGTCTCCGCTTGATTTTCTGTCCTGTCTTTTGTTTCTTTGCCTCTCCCATCATTGCTGCTCTTTTCTGAGGAATGTAGCATCCATTGCAGCTGACCATACCTGGTTCCCTCTAGAAATCCAATCCCTTCTCCCTACCCAGCCACGCTGGTGGTCATCCCATTGAATGCATTCCACAGCATGGGGCATGCTCACTCAGTGCCCTGACCCAGCCCTCAGGAAAGCCAGAGGATGTCTGGGGAAGAGAGGCCTTGAGAATGTTTCTCTCCCTGGAGCTGACACCTTCTTACAGGCCAGGTACAGGAGAGCTGAGTTCCAGGGTGCTGACCAGACACCTAGAGGACATGCTAGGGCCTCTCCTCCTCTGGAGTGTGCTCTCACATGCCAAAGGAGCTCCCCCAGTGGACCCAGGGGTTTGCCTGTCAAAGCAGATGGCCTTCTCAGGCATCAAGGATGGGCCTGTCCCCTTTTGTGATATCTCTGAAGGAGCATGGCTTGGTAAGAGGTGTCATGAGTAGGGCTGCTTGCTGGAGTAAGGAGAGCTAAGGCTGAATTGTCTTGAGCTACCGTCAAGAATCCTGTCTGACCTGGGGTTAGCTGCATGAAGCTGTTCTTCCAGGGCTCTGCTTCCTTTGCTCATCTGTAGACACCAGTCCCCAGCTGGGGTTCTGACACACCAGGGCTCCAGCCTGGCTCTGCACTCGGGTGCCTCTGTCACCAGCTCTGTACCAGCAATACTCACCCCTCCACCTCCCAGCCTTTGAGTGGTCCCCTGCTCCTTTGGGCAGTGGCCTGCACTAGGCACCTACTGCCTCTGCTTTACCACCCCTCCCCCTGTCTGGTTGGGGCTCCTCCCAACCACTGAGAACCCTGTCGGAGGGACTAGTGCCTGGGCTCCCGCCTGAGGCAGCTGTTGTTAATACTAAAGGCTAGCTCCGGAATGCCGTATCTGTTCCTCCTCTCTTTAGCTATAGGGTGGAATTGGAGGCTGTCTGGGAGATGGCAAAGCAGCCCTGGTCCATGTCCAAGAGGAAGGAGGAGGTGGGGATAGAGGCAGGCTTTTTCTGTCTCTTCTAGCCCAAGTACCTGGGCAGGGACAGCTACCAGGGTGACTGTGAAAAGCCCTTGGCCCTTGTGTGAATTCCATTTGTACCAAAGCTGGGGTGCATCAAACCAGGCCAGCCCAAAAGGCCTCCCTGTAGTCAGAGTTCAAGGTAGTGAAGAAGCCCCCACACAAACTGGGGGTGAGGGGGAGGATGGTGAACAGGACCGAGGGCATCTGTGCAGGCGGGGTAGTGAGGTAGTAGCCAGTGAGGTTCTCTTGCTGGCTGGGGAGTATATGTATCTCCTGTATCACTAGTCACGGGACAGAGCACGCTGGCCTCTGACCTTAGTGGGTTGGGGCAAGAAAGAAGCTGGCTTGGAAAAGGCTGTTTTCATCTTGCTTGTAGTGTGTTCGCCTGTAAAGCTGTTATCCTCTGGATGGTGTGAAAACCATCGGGAGTGGAGGAGGGCCAGTGACCTCTGCGGGTGTGGCACTAAGTCACCTCCAGGAGTGGGAGCGGCCAGCAGAGGGTCAGCATGGGGGTGTGCTAGAGCCAGAGGAAGGGGTGATGTGCTGGGAACTCATGCTAACCTGCCTGCCTACAGTCAGTGGCTGTAAACTGCCTAGGAGTTGGGCACTTAGCTGTCCCACCCCTCTCGTGGAAGGTAACCCCCTCCCCCAGTTGATCTTGGGGAATTCACTCTTTTTAATAAATAATCCCGCCTAGATTCTTGCCCATTGTGTAAGGCTAGTGTGTACATGTGATAGAGAGGCTGGATTTAAAGCTGTTTCTCAGCACCCTGGATTCAGGGCTTTACCAGGATGCCGTTCTAGAGATAGCCCTGTCCCAGAAGAGGAGTGTGACTCCTGCCTGGGCTGGGAGCCAGCTGCCCTTTGAGGAAAGGACAATGAGTCAAGAAGTAACTGGGTCTTTGTGAGGTCCTTTACCAACAGGCCACCTCATCCCCCGCCCCGGTGGCAGTCATCCCGTCTCCTCTACGCAGGCCAGATTCATCGGCCCTGTAGTTAGGCAGGAGCAGCCCTGCCACGATGCTGGGCTGTGGCAGTGATGAGGGACTCAGAGCACATGGCTCTGTATTTCTGCCCTGCTCAGCCTGTCCCACTTTCCCACAGATTCCTTCCCTACAAGGAAGTCAGAGATGGGACTCTGTGATAGGAAACATTCTCCAGGAAATGGGCCAGGTCTTGGTTTGACAAGGAAGGGGACATTTGGTCCTTTGGGGAAGAACCAGTCGCAAAGGAGCTTTCACCCAGTCTCTCCTCCCACCCAGCTCTACTGAGGAGCACCTACTCAGGTGGTCCTGGCAATGCCAGCATGCCACAAGGTAGAGGCAGAACCAAGGAAAGCTCTAGAGAAGCAGGGGTGGTGGTGCCGGGGTGATCCTGCACTGGGGTCAAGCTAACTCTCCCAGGGGCTCGACCCCCCAACCAGGGAAGCATGCCAGCACTTCCTTTACTGCCAGCCTGGGGGAGACCAGCAGCCTCGTTTTTTTTTTTGTTTTGTTTTTTGTTTTTTAAAAGACAATTGAACCCTCCCGGGCATTTCTTTGGAAATGAAATGTAGCACAATCCTCGACTGTGTTCCCAGGAGCCCTGTCATACCCAGGGGCCTCACACCGCAGGTTCTGCTTCCCCCGGGGACCCAGAGCTCCTGATACCTCATGTTCTCCACCACCCTTGGCCTAGGAAGCAGTGGCACCCAGCAAGGCTGCTCTTCTGTGTTTCTCCGATTGCGTCCAGCACTGTGCAAACTCTTTAAGAAGTCGCTGCCTTTGACCGAGGCTGCTGTCTTCTGCGTGGGGAGATGTGGTACTTCCTGCAGGGCCGGAAGCTTGTCCAGCAGCATTTCTGTCGTGGCCACAGGGAGGTGGACGAGAAGAGGCTTGCTTCCCTACCACCTCCTACTCTCCTGCTCCTCAGTTGTCTCCACTGTCCTGACACATAAAGACGTTCTTTTGAATACGCCGCCTCTCCTGCATCGTCTTCCTCGGGATGATCAGAGAGGAGCTGGAAACATAGACTCCTTCCCTGCCTTCTCCCTCCAGTCTGCTTCTAGCCCAGGTCCTAAGAGGCTGGGGAGATCAGCCACCATCAGAGAGCAGGGGAGCCCTGTCCAATCAGGTGTGGCTTGATGGTGGCAGGATCAGCCTGGCCTGGCTGGGAAAGGGTCATTTTGAGAGTGCCTGAGCATCTCAGAGCAATGTCAGTGATGCCAAAGAGAGCGACTTGGCCTCCTTGGGTACCAGCTCTGTCGGTGGAGCTGGACAAACACGGATCAGAAGTTGGCATCCCAAGGGAAGGTCCTTGTTCTCTGACAAAGGGCTTAATCTTTCCATGTAGCAAAGCAACTCCCCTCCCCCAACCCTGAGTTTGGGCTTCTGTGGGCCCAGCATGGCTGTGCCTGTACGGAAAAACCAAGCCGTGTGAGTGACAGACCTGTTTTCTCCCTAGGGCCTAGTCTGTCTCAGCAGGTGCTCCTTGAAAAGCGTGAGTGTTGCTTTGGAGAAACTGGTTCTGGCTGGACACTTGCCCGCAGGGACAGGCTCTTGGACCTGCCAGGAAGTTCATACTGATGATGCCAGGAAGGGTCCCTGGATCTGAGAATCCCAGGGACAACTGAGCATCTGCCCCATTAGCCAATGACCTGGACAGGGATGGCTGTTCTGTACCCCTCCCCCCTCTTTTTGCCAGAAACTGTGACCTGTGCGAGACTCCTCACCGGGATTTGGTGCCCTCATCTGTAACATCAGAGCATTAGCTGTTTGCTCCATGGCTCCCTCCAGGCTTCAGAAGTCTATAGCTTGCTTGGGTGGTGAGGGCGGTAAGGGCCAGGTTCTTGTGCTTGGAGCAGGTCCTCATTTGATCATACTGCTCCTGGCAAAAGAACCCCAGAGCCCACAAACATGGCTTCACCTCTTTGTAGCCCCCCCCCCCACCTCTCTGGTCTTGGTGAGAAATGACTGATTCCAAGGTGCCATAATGTCACCATCTCTGCTGTATCCTGAGTAAGGCCATTTCTCATTCTGCTTCTAGATGGCAGCCCGGGAAGAGGGGGCACTTGGAGCCTTTAAAAGGAATTCTCTCTGGTGGGATGAGAGAAGGAAATTCCAAGTATTTGGCTTTTTAAAACCACTTCTCCTTCCCAAATATCTTCTCCCAAACGTTATCTAAGAAGGCAGAGTGGCTTCTTCCTCAGGGAAAGCAGACCTGAGACTTCTAGCAACTCCTGTAGCATGGAAACTCACAGAAGGCAGGAACCCCTTTTTTAGAATTTCCAAATGCATCCTGCAAAGAAAGAGAGCGAGAGCTGTTAGGGACTGACAAGCACACTGTTTAGATAAGAAGTAATTAGCCTTTTATATCTGAGCTCTCTGCAGTTTCTGTGTGCAGCGTCTTTCCAAACTGCGGCTCCTGGATGGCAGGTGGACAGCTGGGAGGGAATGCCGGCTGTCTCATGTGACAACGTCCTTGCCAATCCCCTTGAGGAGAAAATTCTTCACATGGCTTCTGCATGTACAGTATTTGGGCAGCAAAAAAAAAATTAAAGTTCATTTGAAATTGGTTTCGTGTGTGACTTTCTGAGGCTGGTGGGGTTTGTTTTGTTTTTGGTTGTTTTGAGACAGGGTTTGTCTGTGTGGCTTTGGAGTCTGTCCTGGCACTGGCTCTGTAGATCAGGCTGGCATCGAACTCACAGAGATCTGCCTGCCCCTGCCTCCCGAGTGCTGAGATTAAAGGCATGCACCACTGCCACCAAGCTTGAGGCTGGTCTTCAGGAAAGAAAATGGTTCTGGGTAATTAAAGAGAAGGGGGATGCTGCCTTGGCTGAGAGGCAGAAGAGAGCTACAGCTCAGAAAAAGGCATGAACTTGGGTCTCTGACCCCTGCCTGGGAACTTAGTTGCACAGCAATACTCCTGCACCAAGGAAACATACTGGTCAGTTGGCTTTCCAGTATGTTCTCCCAGGGGCCCTTGCTTACTGGCCTTCAAAGCTTTCTGTCTGCCCAGACTCTACAGAACACACCCAAATAGAGAGGACAGGAGGGATAGGGCTAAGGTCACTCAGGCATAAAGCTGACTCCGCCACACCTGACAGAAACAACAAACAGTAGTCAAGTTCTACTGGGCATGCAATAGTCACTAACCTCAGCTGCACTCTTTGCCCTCCCTGCCTCTAAAAGATGTGAAAATCCTAAATACGAACTGTGAATTCCAACAATTACTAAAGCGGTGTATAACCGAAAAGTGTTTACCCTGGCATGCAAGATGTTTCATTATTATTACAAAGATTCATCTCTGTAATTTACTACATTAATAGATTAAAGGAGAAAATGTGTTTATCCTAATGCAGAAAAGACATAAGGGTTTATCCTACTTATAATAAAATCCTCCTAGGTAACTCTCTTAATTTGATAATCATCATATATCAAAAAACAAAAGCTTGAGAGATGGCTCACTGGTTAAGAGTACCTAGTGCTCTTCCAGAGGGTTCCAGGGTTCTGTTCCCAGCACTCACGCCAGGCAACTCACAACTCCAGTTCCTGGGGTTCTGATGCCCTCTTTTGGCTCTCACCAGCTCATGTGCACACACAGAGTACTCATATAATGTATATAAATGTATATAAAACCATACATTTGCTGTGTGGTGTGGCATGTGCCTGTAATCCCAGCACTGGAGAGGCAGAAGCAAGTGGATCTCTGAGCTTGAGGCCAGCCTGTTTCATATGGGAAATTCTAGGTCATCCAGGGAAACATACTCTATTTCAAGAAGGAAATAAGTTCCATTTTAAGGGGGTACATATGTGGTTGCAGTTGTGGTTGGAAGGGTTATATCCTGTGCATGCCAGTCCCTAAGTTTGATCTTCACCATTAAAAAAAAAGCAAAAAGCAAAGCTGAGAAACAACTATAAAGCAGAAAACTTCTGTAGAAGTAAAATAGATGACAATCACAGAACAAAGAATAGGACCAGGAAATGGAAGTGTGTAAACTTTGTGTGTTAGATTTGATGTAGGATAGCACTGGAAGGTAGACCACGGTTAAAGATGCATAAACACTGGTTTTAAAAAGAAAACAGTGAAACATTAAACAACCAGGTAATAAATATAAAAGAAATCATGGAGACAGGGTCTATACTGTACTGGTTGGTTTTGTGTGTCAACTTAACACAAGCTAGAATCATCAGAGAGTCAGGAGCCTCAGTTGAGGAAATGCCTCCATAAGATCCAGCTGTAAGGCATTTTCTCAATTAGTGATCAATTGAGGGAGGGCTCAGCCCATGGTTGGTGGTGCCATTCCTGGACTGCTGGTCCTGGGTTCTATAAGAAAGCAGGTTGAACCAGCCTACAACCCACATCGCCAGAGAAGCTAGGAAACAAGGACCACCTTAAGAGAGACATACATGATACCCTGGAGAAGAGGAAAGGGACAAGATCTCCTGAGCTACTTGGGAGCATGGGGAAGGGGAGAGAGAGTTAGGGGAAAGAGAAGGGGAAAAGAGGAGGGGAGGACAGGACATGAGAGACCAAGATTGAGTTGGGGAGAATAGAGGAGAGCAAGAAAAGAGATACCATAATAGAGGGAGCCATTATAGGTTTAAAGAGAAATCTGGCACTAGGGAAATGTCCAGAGATCTACAAGGTTGACCCCAACTAACAATCTAAGCAAGAGCGGAAAGGCTACCTTAAATGCCCTTCTCCGACAATGAGATTGATGACTATCTTATACACCATCCTAGAGCCTTCATCCAGTAGCTGATGGAGGCAGAACTCTGGAATCCAATTGCAAAAAGGGAGGAGTAATGAGCAAAGGGGTCAAAACCAGGCTGGAGAAACCCACAGAAACAGCTGACCTGAACAAGAGGGAGCTCATGGACCCAAGACTGATTGCTGGGAAACCAGCATAAGACTGTCTGAGACCCCCTGAATGTGGATGTCAGATTGGAGGTCTGGTTAATCTATGGGGCCTCTAGCAGTGGATTAATATTTATCCCTAGTACACGAATGGACTTTGGGAGCCCACTCCACATAGAGGAATATTCTGTCAGCCTAGACACAAGGGGGAGGGTTTAGGCCCTGCTCCAAATGATATGACAAACTTTGAAGATTTCCCATGGAAGGCCTCACCCTCCCTGGGGAACAGAAAGGGGATGGGATAGGGGATCAGTGAGGGACAGGGGGGAGGGAACCGGGATTGACATATAAAACAAGCTTGTTTCATGTATGTATGTATGTATGTATGTATGTATGTATGTATGTATATGTATCAGGCTGAGCAAATCATGGAGAGCAAGCCACACCCACCCATGGCCTCTCCCTCAGCTCCTGCCTTTGGAATCCTGCACTATTTGAGTTCCTGTCCTGACTTCCTTCAATGATGGACTATGATGTGGAAGTGTAAGGAAAATAAACCCTTTCCTCTCCGACTTGCTTTTTGATTATGGTGTTGCATTGCAGCAGTAGAAACCCTAACTAAGACAATTACTAGCAGTACACAATTCAAAAGAAGTGGGGGGGGGGAAGCGACAAAAAATCGCTAGGTAAATGAGAGAAAACCATGTATCATTTCAGTAGATATATAAGAAGAATTTGGGGTTGCAGAGATGGCTGAACACCCATGTACAAAGCCCTGTGTGGTGGTGTGTGCCTGTAACCTCAGGGTTGGGGGAAGGAAACAAGAGAACCCCTGAGGCTCTATGGACTTATTGTATATAGTTTTTATGTTAGTTGTAGCCTTACTTTTTGTGTTAGACAAAAAGGGGAATTGTGGTGATATATTGTTTATGATCTAATAAAGCTTGTCTGGGCATCAGAATGCAAAGCCAGCCATACTAGTTAGCCATAGAAGCTGGGCAATGGTGACACACACTTTTAATCCCAGGACCCAAGAGACACAGGCAGATGGATCTCTCTGAGTTCAAGGCCACCTAGGACTATACAAGAGTGAATCAGTCTAAGAAAAACAGAGCACATGCCTTTATTCCGAGCATTAGAGAGAATATAAGGAACTCAGTGAAGTCTCAGAGTGCAGTCTAGGATTCTGAGGCTTGGTGGAGAGCAGTGCAGTCTGGAGATGCAATCTGAGGTTTGGTGGATCACCCCTTCGGTCTGAGCATTGGTAGAGGTGAAAACTCTCTAGTAGCTGGCTGCTTTGCTTCTCTGATTTTCAGACAAGCTTTATTAAATCATGAACAATATATCACCACAAGTGGTTCTAGGCCAGCTCAAGCTACAAAGTGAGACTCTATCCTGCCTCAAAGCACCAAACTAGGGCCAACAAGATGGCTCAGTGAGCTAGGGTGCTTGCTGCTAAGCCTGAGGATTCAAGTTCAATCCCTGGGATCCAAGGATAAAACATCGTAAATTGTCACCTGACTTCCACATGTGTATGACACATGCCCCCTCCCCAGTAAATAAGCACTGTGGTGGTTTGAATAGGAATGACCCCCATAGGCTCATATATTTGAATAAGAATGACCCCCATAGGCTCATATATTTGAATAAGAATGACCCATAGGCTCATATATTTGAATAAGAATGACCCATAGGTTCATATATTTGAATAAGAATGACCCATAGGTTCATATATTTGAATAAGAATGACCCCATAGGCTCATATATTTGAATAAGAATGACCCCATAGGCTCATATATTTGAATGCTTACCCCCATTTAGTGAACTGTTTAGGAAGGATTAGGAGGTGTGAATTTGTTGTTGGAGGTGTGTTACTGGAGGTGGGATTAGAGTTTTCAAACACCTGCACCAACCCTGCCCCCCCAGTGTGTGTGTGTGTGTGTGTGTGTGTGTGTGTGTGTGTATGTATACAGTGTCTGTATGTGTGTGTACAGTGTCTGTGTGTGTGTGCACAGTGTCTGTGTGTGTGTATACAGTGTGTGTATACAGTGTCTGTGTGTGTGTATACAGTGTCTGTGTGTATACAGTGTCTGTGTATGTATATACAGTGTCTGTGTGTGTATACAGTGTCTGTGTGTGTATACAGTGTCTGTGTGTGTATACAGTGTCTGTGTGTGTATACAGTGTTGTGTGTATATACAGTGTCTGTGTGTGTATATACAGTGTCTGTGGGTGTATACAGTGTTGTGTGTGTATCTCTGTGTCTGTGCCAACTCTGTCTCTGCGTGTGTATCTTCCAGACTCTGTCTCTCCCAGTACCCCTCTCCTTCTCTGTCTCCCCTTCTCTCTGTCCCTCAATTGACTCTCTCTCCGAGTCTCTCTCCCCTTCTCTCCCTCCCTCCCCTCTTTCTCTGTCTCTACACCTTGTGCTGAGTCAGCTGTGAGCTCTCAGCTGCAGTCAATGCCTACTCTGTGAGTTGCTTTGGTCATGGTCTCCTCATAGCCATAGAGCAGTAATGAAGACAAATACCAAAACAGAACAAGCCTGCCACAGTAGAGGAAACACGGTACATAATGGTGAAAATGGATGCCTCTCCCAGAAGACAAGAAAAGAAATAAAAAGATGTTCGTGCCGGGCGTTGGTGGCGCACGCCTTTAATCCCAGCACTTGGGAGGCAGAGGCAGGCGGATCTCTGAGAGTTTGAGGCCAGGCTG